GGGGACAGAAGGAGAGAGAAAGGAAGAGGGAGAGAGGGAGAAAGCAAGACAGAGAAAGAGGAGGCAGAGAAAGCAAGAGAGATGGAGGGAGAGAAAGAGGAAGAGAGAAGGAGAAAGAGAGAGAGGGAGAGTAATGGCCAATTCTCAAAACATCTGATATTATTTCTTAGTATTTTAGTATATGCAGCATTGCTTGAATGTCCTCTGCACAAAAACACACCTACAACTATCCAGTACTAGGTGAAAACTCTTATATTTTCCAAGACGTTTTAGAAAACCATTTTAGAATTGCAATTCTTATCCTGATGTTTACAGTGATTTATTGCTATTAATATTATTACCATTGGTGTTACAAAGTTTTTACTGAGAAACTCTGAATTAGAATCTTTCAGGGAAACTCCCACCACACACACACACACACACACACACACAAAATTTTCTCACATGAGCTTCCCTGAATTTTTAGATCATTGGGACAGAGCCCACTTTCTGTTCTGCCAACACCCAAAGCTTGTTGATCAGAAATCCCACAAGGGCTTCCAAATCTTTTTGCACTAATTGTCTTGTCTCCAAAATCCACCTTCCAGCAGACAATGATGTTTTTATTCAGTAAAGACTCTGGTCAAATACCCAGAAGTTCTGTCAACCTTGTGTGTATATATATATATATATACTGTATATATTGCAATTCCCTATTTGTCTCAACGTGTCTCATTGTAAGTTTTATTTATTTTGTATTCTTCACTTTTAACCGGTGGTTGTTTTCTACTGGTTCGGATCGGTTCAAGTGAACCGGTAGTAAAAAAAAATGCTACTGTTTGGCCGAACCACTAGTAGAAAAAACAGCTACCGGTTTGCCAGGTAGCTGAACCAGTATTTCTTTTTTTTTTTCTTCCTCCCAACGATCAGCTGTTCTGATGATCAGCTGTGCCAGGATCCCCCTCGCTGTCTTACTGCTTCACCCAGGAGGCTTCCCTGAGGCCCAGGAGGCAAAAAAATGGAGCGCAGGGGTGGGTGGGTGGGTTTGATGTGCGCCCACCCCAGCGCTCCATTTTTTGCCTCCTGGGCCTTAGGGAAGCCTCCTGGCAGCAAAAATGGCCTCCCAGGAGGTTTCCCTGAGGCCCAGGAGGCAAAAAAAACCAAAATGGAGCACTGGGGGAGGGGGTGCTGCAAAAAAAAAAAAGAAGAAGAAGAAGCCATGCCCACCCAGTCACATGGCCACTCCCATCTAGCCACACCCACAGAACCGGTAGTAAAAATATTTGCCTCCCACCCCTGCTTTTAACTTTGTATTCTACTTAACGATCTAAAAATCAGGGAAGCTCAGGTGAGAAATGTTAACTTTGTCCCCAGCTTTCTACTGTTCCACTTTGTAAAGCTGGGGACAAAGTTAACAAGCAAGCAATAGCAATAAAAAAATGAAATGCAACTAAAAAAAGAGGCTATGTCAATAATCTTACCGGGATCATGGAAAGGCACCAAGAGGTAAAAATCTGGTTGTTGAGGGGTGCCTTGGCGCTGCTCGATGATCTCCCGTGCCTGAAACTTAGCAGCGCTGATCTCTTCCCCCATACTTCCAGTGGTGTCCACAACGAAACTCAGGCCTGTGGTTGAGCTGATATCCAGCAACCTTCAAAAAAAATATAGTGTGAATTGTGATTTAATAAATTATTCTTTAGGACAGATTCATACCTGATGCTAAGAGATGATGTGGTTTATTTGGGGCTGGCTTAGCATGTTATGTATGTTATGTAGGCTTAACATGTTAAGTAAGCTTAGTCCTTCTGGTCTGTAAAATAAGGGTTACGGCTTACCAGGCTATGCAAAAATAATCAATTGTGCTTTATACAATCAAGCGTGGCTTAGTGTAATGAACCAGTGTGGAATTATGGAAACATACAGGGAGAAGGCCTTCACATTTTCTCTCTCTTTCCTTTCTCTCTCTCTCTTTCCCCTTTCTTCCATCCTTCCTTTTCTTTTTTCTTTCTTTCTCCTTCCTTTTCCTTCCTTTCTTCCTTCCTCTTTCTCTTTCTTCCCTCCTTCTTTTTCCTTCCTTTCTTCCTTCTTTTCTCTTTTCTTTCTCTCTTTTTCTTTCTTTCTCTCTCCCTCTCTTCCTCCCTCTTTTCCTTTCCTTTCCTTTTTCTTCTGCTTTTTCCTTTCCTGCTTCTGCTCTTTATTAGTTTACATTCATTTTTTCTATGTTTTGTAATAACACTTAATAAAAATTAATAAAATACATTTTAAAATGCAACATGTACTGTATGTGAGTATATTGATGCTATCTTGTTGGCTGTTATCTCTATTGATTTACAGCAACTGTTAAATGTACAGTGCAAGGAAGATAAGTCATCTGAAAATTAATATCCTGAAGATTAAGATGGGCTTATTTCACAGTTATATGGAATTGCTGAATAGGGAAATTTTTCAGAGTATTAGGCAGCATGTGGCCTATCATAAGGAATTAATGATTCTCATGACAACTGAAAATGTGAGTAATTAATGTTTGTTTAAAGAAGCCGAGATGGCTGCATATAAAAAGGACGCTTCTGCTTGCTTTGTTATGTGTAAATGAAAATGGATGTTGACAGGAGAAAGTAATTTGAATGTGATGGGAAAGGGGTAGTTAAGAAATGTGCTTAATGAAACGAGAAGAGAAAGGCTCAAAAATGAATGAGTGATGAAAGAATGTGGATTCATACAAAAGCAAGGATGAAAGAGAATCATTGATGTGGTTCAGTCATATAGAGAAAGCAAATAGAGAATTAAAACACAGAACAAACAAGTAAAAGAATAGTTAAAGGGTTGTGAGGAAGGAGATGAGAAACATGATGAGGTGGTGAGATCCTCAAAAAGAAAGAGATGAGAAATTTAACAAAGATCAAAAAGCAAGACATCAATCAGTATTTAGTAGAAGCAAGGATAATTGGCAAAGATGGAAAGGTATGGCTAAATGAGGTTGATGAAAACTAGTTTTAACTATGTTTTTCTTCTTCTTTTCCCCTCATCTGTAATTTCTTTGGCTTGCTCTTCCCTAATGTTTTTCAGCCACTTTACATAATGCTGCTTACCACAAGAGAGATAGGTGTGGTCTTTTAATTTCTTTAGAGTCGCTCGATTCTGAGATGGGCAGCATATAAATTTAATAATTTATGATATTTCTAATCTGCCTCAATCATCATCTTTTAATGACGCCATCATCCCTAGTCGGGTAGAGTCTGGGCAACTGAATGGAGTTGAGTGTTCACTGGCCGGATGCCCTTCCTGTCACCAATGTGGAGTTATATTCAACAGATATATTCTCATCGTGCCCAGAGAGAGAAATATCTGCCTCTATCTATGATCAAACTCACAGCTTCCTGATTCTTGTGAGAGGTCCATCTCTAGGCCAGAGGTCTTCAATCTTGGCAACTTTAAGACTTGTGGACTTCAACGCCTAGAATTCCTCAG